GATATAACTCTCTTCCTCTCCTGCTAATAAAACTCTCCTTTCCCTCTTATACTTCCCTTCCTCTCACACTATTTCATCTCCTCTCATGCTAGTATTTGTCCCCTTATCGTGCTAAATATTTWATTTCTGTCCCAGTAATTATTCCTTTTTCTTTCTCATCCTCATTCTTCTGTTCTTCTTCCACTAATTTTGTTCCTATTCCCCCAATAAATCTTTCTTTCAAGTGATTAATTCCCTCTCCGTTTCCCCCTCAATCTCTGTCTGAGCGATTAATTATCTTCTCTTTCTCTGTGACTAGTCCTTTTATTCCTATTCCCCGAAAGATTTCTTATCTTTCTAATAATTCTCTTCCTATTTCCCTCATAATTCTCTCGGTCTCCCTCTAGTAATTTTCTTCCTATTCCCCTAAAAATTCTCTTTCCCTTCTGCTAATAAATCTCTTTCTCTCCCGCTCACAATTTTATTCTTATTCTCCCAATAATTCTCTTTCACTCCAGGTAACAATTCTCTTTTTATCCCCGTGATACTTCCATTCTTCTCAAGTTAATAATTCCTTTCTTCTCCTGCTAGTAATTCTCATCCTGTCCCACGAGATAAYGTTCTGGCGCTGCTCTTTTGTGCRCGGGGTGCATTTTGTGGTGATAGCCCCGCGGTGCCGGGGGCTCCCGGCGCAGCCCTGCTGCGGGACAAGGGCCGTGCCTGCCTGGCCCCCAGTGCTCGCCGGGGCTGTCCTCCCCGCGGGGCACGGGGGCTGGCGGCGCCGCCCSCGCCTGACTGCCCCCCGCCACCGTGTCCGCGTGCCCGGGCCAGGGCTCCGCCTCGCGCGTTCAGCCACCCGCCGGCGGCGGCGGTGGGGGGGGGAGCGTGGGCTCTGCTGCCCTGGCCGCCCCAGCTGTCCCTGATGGGGCTCGCCACCCTCCTCCCGGCCCGCTGGGTGATGGGCGRCAGCTGCGGGCCCCGGGGCCGGGACGAGCTGTCGGGGGGCGGGCACGCGCTGCGGCCGGGACGGCCGTTGAGGGCAGGTGCTGGGACCACGCTGTGAAGCAGGCGCTGCCGCAGAGGAGCCGCCGCTGGACCCGGCGTCGGAGGAGGTGAGCGGGGCCGGGGAGCGCTCGGGGCGCCGCCTGGGGCGGGGGTCTTGGGCCATGCGGCGGCTCGGGGCGTGCTGGGACTGGGCAGCTGCCCTGGAACCGGTAAGGGCGGTGGGGCCAGGATGTGGTGGGCGTTAAGGGTGGTGGGGCCAGGACGTAGTGGGTGAGAGTGACACCCTGGGGATGAAGCTGCGAGGGGGGGGGGGCGGGCAGGGCAGGGTGCCCGCTAGGGCTGGGTTACTCCTTGTCCCGGGTGGGACCTGGTCGTTGCTCTCGAGCTTCCCTTAATGGCTCTCTGCTCTCCAGAACATGTGTTTTATCTGAACTAGATTCTCCTGGAGGTTATTATTGTGCTGTCCAGTTCTCTCTGTCCTTCAGAGCCCCAGAAACACCAGAAACACCGTTGTTTTGCTTTGGAGTGTTCTTTGAGTGCTTCCTTTTGTGCTCCAGATCCGTTTGGGCCCTTTGGCCTTGGTAGGACCCCTGTAGTCTCTGCAGAAACCCTTCCTGAGGCCTCACTTCTGCTCCAGAGCCCTCTGTCCATTCACTGACCTTGTTAGCACCTCGGTGGTCTCCTCATGCACGTCCTTTGCCTGGAAATACAGAGCTAGCACCTGCCTAGGGAGCTACCAATTCCCTTCTGGCCACTCACTGCCTCTTTTCATTCTATTATTTATTTTTTATTTTTATTTTTATTTTTTTAAATTTGCTCTAGATGCTGTGCAGTTCTATGTATTCCTTCCTGGGAAGTACTTGTGTTACAGATGCAGCAGTTTAGTTTGATATCCTGATTTGCCCTGGAGGAACTGCCATCCTGTTAGAGCATCTGCAGCACATGCAGGCTCGAACCTGTAACGATGCCTTGGGATAGTGTTCCCTCTGGACCATGAATTTGTGGACACTAAACTCCAAGGTGACAGGAGGAATGTAAATAGAGCATTAAAACAAGTATCAAGGAGCCTTGAAATGGGAGTTACCTGTTACAAACTGGAGCTGCAAAAGAAGGGACCATCTGCACTGTGAGCAAAACCTGGAAGAACCACCCATAACCAGGTGTTCTTGGGAAGCATCCGCTCCAGGGGCAAGGTGTATTGCGGTTGGGGACGGAGGGGCAGCACGACCACTGACTCGATCACTGTCGCCTCGAGAAACCCTCCGCCTCGAAAGAAAGAGCAGCAGAGCAGCAGCGCATGTGCAGGTATGTAGGAGGTAGGTGAGACAAGCTAAGCGATGCTGTAGAAGCTGAGTTGCAAAATGCCCTAGAGAGGCAGCAGCACACGGCAACGGTCCAAATCACGAGTTGACTGAGCTGGTAGAAGCGCTAGCTTTGTGGAATCATCTTTAACTTAAATGCTACTTTTGCAAATTCTTCTGATGTGGGAGGATGGGTGAGCAAAGGGTTGCTCGCGTATGTTTCATTTTTCCGTCGTGGCTCATTGGCAGTAGTTAATGTGAAGTCTGTGATTACTGATAACCTAAAGTGAGATATTAGCCATGAAATGATTTTAGAGAGGAAGTGTTATCATTTGGAATCTTTCTCGGACAGTATTTACGTAACAAGAACACTAACCTGACTGGGTGACTTGGAGTAATGGGATGTAACAGGGACTGAGTAAATGAGAGTACGAGAACAGGGATTGCACAGATTTCCAGCATAAGTGCTTTAATTTCTGTATGCTTTGCATACTGTTTCTGGTCTGTTCACATCTGTATGGTAAGAGCTACTTTTGCTGTGCTGGCCTGGTGTCTTTCTGCCGCTTAACGTGGTTAGGGATAGACAACAGATGTTTTTCATGATATTGATGTGTGCTGATGGACTAAATATGTAGGTTAAGAATTAAGTATCAAGTGTTTGAAAAACTTTGTTGTTTTTCAGGTTTTCATCAAACTGTTGGGTACTGAGGATTTCAGTGTGGCAGTGCTCAATTTCTATAAAACTAACCAGCTTGTCTGCAGCAAAGATCTTTCAGTATGCTAGATAGTGGATTTTTTTTTTTTTTTTTTTTTTTTTTTTTTTTTTTTTTTTTTTTTTTTTTTTTTGCCTGTAGAGTCTTTCTGTAGTCTAAATACTTCTACCACAGCTGTTAATGACTAGAGGGATTATTGCAGCGGTGGACAGCCTGTCCCTTTTTAAAATCATTGCTATCAGCTCTTGCTGCGACTAACCAGGCTAAGTAAATCTAAACTGATGTTCTTCTGCCCCGAAGGAGAGTATCAGTTCACAATAGGAAAAAATCTTGTGTGAAAGAAGGAATGGCAATGTTGTGATTTTTTTCTAACCTTGTTCCATTCTTGTTTTTCAGGTCTAGAATATAACTTTGAGCAGAGCTGGGGCAGCACTTTGACAGGGTCGTGTGAGCATTGTTTTTGTCATCTGAGGTAAATATGAAAACTTGTCTATGGTGGAACTCAGCTTCTGTCTCGGCTTTCCTGTGCAGCAAATTGCTGAACGTGAGTACTTGCTGCCACCAAGACTGAAAAATACTGTTTTTATGGTGTGGTGGTGTGGGGTTTGTTTGTTTGTTTGTTTGCTTTTTCCCTTCTCCTCTAATATAATTTTAAAGTCATTCTACACTTAAGTTACAGTGTAGATTCAAATATTTTGTTTGTTTTAGGAACTTTGCAGAGGAAAACGGTACCTCTCTTTGCTCAGATACTGTGTACCGGTGTCAGTCTAGCTTATTAAGTTTGCCGGCATTCTTTCTTCCAGTACGGGTCAAATTGTGCTGAAGCTGGCTTCACTTTCTTTGATCTCGCTTCAGACAGTAAAAAGAAGTGTCTGCATCGTGGTGTAGTCTGCGATTTGCATTGTAGATTTGCTCTCTTTTGCTCAGGTCTGGATGTTGCTCTTGTTCTTTGTGCTCCTGTAGCACATCCACACTGCGTGGTGCTAGTGCAGGAGGCGTTGGTTGGGGCTGGACATCTTTGCAGCCATTGCTGTGTCTCTTCTGCTGATGCCACTCCATCCCCTTGTGTCTTCATGGTGCTCTTTCATGGTTTCATTTCCTGTGTTGCCAAGGCTTTGTGTCTTTCTGAATGGCCATTGTGTTTTTGCCCAGCCACATCCGTTGTTATCCTTGTGCCGGCAGTTCTCATTTTGGGTTACTAAGGGGCACTCCGTCTCTCCATTCTTTTGGCTGTTTGTGGCTTTTCCTCTTTGTGACACTGACGCCTCATCAGCTGCCCCTTCCTCTTCTGAGGTCTGTCTTGTTTTGCACCTTCCTGATGTCCTGCCAGGGTTCTCTTCCCTGTGGTCATGCAGTCTCGGGTCCTTGCCGGCCCCTTCCATACCAGGCCGTGGCCTTTGACTCTCCTCTGTTCTTGTCCAGAACATGAGTGTCGCACGCTTGTGACTTCGTCAGGCTTTCTGGTGCTCAGCATCTTAGRTGTGGCTATAGTTCCTTTTGCGTAGAAAGGTTTTCCTCTATGTTTGTGCCTGGTGTGTGTGTGTGTGCCTCTGTTTTTGAGGCTGGAACTGCCTTGTTGGTGCATGTTCACCCCGGTAGTGTGTAGAGTGTTACAGTGAGGTACTGGAATGGTGATTGCTCAGCCACTCTGTGCGGCACTTTCAGTTCCATTTGCATTTTTGCATTGTTGAAGATGCAAGAGCAGTGTTCTGAGCAGGCCCTGGGAGACGGAGGAAGAAATGGTTCTGCCCTAATAAGAAGGTGAGCTGGATGGTCGCTGTTGTGAGGGGAGTGTTGTGATTGGTGGGTCCCCTGATGAATTTTTGCTTTGTGCGTGCAGGTGTGGAGGAATGTGACAAGCAGCTTGGTCGCATCTTGGGCACAGAGAGGTGAGAGTCGCTCCATGAGAGGGATTAGAGCTTAGCATAGGGCAGGCATCTTGCTGACGCCATCCCTGTTGGCCACTGTTGTTCTGCTTTTACAGGTGCTGCGGCAGCTTCCCCGTGGTGACAGAGCCCGGCAGCCGGCAGGGGCAAGCGGAGCAGGTAAAGGCGGGGAGCGAACACTCTATGGGAATGGGCTGCGGTCTTGCTCGCATCACTGCAGCACGTGATTCCCTGTCTTTGCAGAATCTTTCAGCGAGTTGAGGAGAGGAGCAGTTGGAGTGCTGACAAAAGCCTCACTGGATGAGAGAAGGACAGGCTGTCGTGTTCATAAGTTATTGCGCATCGGGCGCAGTTGAGCTGTCTCTCAGTAATATCATAGAATCATAGAATCATAGAATGCCGAAGGTTGGAAGGGACCTCAGAGGTCATCGAGTCCAACCCCCCTGCTCACGCAGGGTCGCCTAGAGCACGTGGCACAGGGCTGCATCCAAGCGGGTTTTAAAGATCTCCAAAGAAGGAGACTCCACAACCTCTCTGGGCAACCTGTTCCAGTGCTTTGTCACCCTCACAGTGAAGAAATGCTTCCTTAAATTCCCGTGGAACTTCCGATGCTTCAGTTTGAAGCCATTTCCTCTAGTCCTATCACTGTCCACCACTGAAAAGAGGCCGCCCCCCTCCTCCTCACTGCCTCCCTTGAGGTATTTATACACGCTGATCAGGTCCCCCCTCAGCCTCCTCTTCTCCAGGCTGAACAGACCCAGCTCTCTCAGCCTTTGCTCATATGGCAGATGTTCCAGGCCTCTGATCATCCTGGTAGCCCTGCACTGGACTCTCTCCAGCAGCTCCACATCCCTCTTGTACTGGGGAGCCCAGAACTGGACGCAGTATTCCAGATGTGRCCTCACCAGGGCTGAGTAGAGGGGGATGATCACTTCCCTCGACCTGCTGGAGACGCTTTTCTTAATGCACCCCAGGATCCCGTTGGCCTTCTTGGCCACCAGGGCACACKGCTGCCTCATGGTCGACTTGTCGTCCACCGTGACRCCCAGGTCCCTCTCTGCGGGGCTGCTCTCCAGCAGGTCCACGCCTAATCTGTACTGGTGTCCAGGGTTATTCCTCCCCAAGTGCAGGACCCTGCACTTGCCCCTGAATATCTTGCCTTCTGCTTTTTTTCAGGTCACACTGAGGCTTTTCCCCATGATGTCTTAGTCCTTCAGGTGTGTGGATTGTGTTGCATCTTGTGGGCTTGGTGAGTGTGGCCCGGCAAGCGGCAGGGTGCCCGCGAGCAGAGCGTCCGTGGCKCTTTGGAGGTGGCTCTTTTGGCGCCTGAGGCCGTAGCTGACTGGCACAGAAGCGACTGCCTGCCTTTTGTTTCGGCAGGTGACAAAGACCATGGGTAGCTCGATGAGAGTGCGGCTGCCTTTGAAGATGCACTGTGAAGAGGGATGGAGACCTAGAGTACTGCAGATGCTTAGCTGATGGCAAAGCGTGTTGGGGGTGTCTTGACTGCGTGTGCTGCCGTTGAGGGCAGACCAGAGGCATCTTCTGGATGAGCACAGTGTGTGAGGCAGAGGCAACGCAGTGCATGTGTTGGCAAGTGAGAGCAGACAGCTCCCGCCTGTCTGTGGTTTGTATTGCAGATTTGCTTTCTTTTGCTCAGGTCCTAGTACTGCTCGTGTTGTTTGTGCTCCCAGAGCACATCCTGCACTGCGCAGCACTAGCGCAGGAGGCATCTGCTGTCTTTTGTCGGGCCTCGCTCACCAGCGTCACGCTGGCGGATGGCGGCTTGTTCTGTGCAGCCAGATGAAATGGGCTCTGTCATTTGTGGTTGGACATCTTTCCAGCCCTCATCGGTGGCCTCATCAGTCACTGTTGCTCTGGGCTTTTGCTCCACCACCACTCTGGGTTCTTGTGCCTTCCTGGTCCCCTTTCACGGTTTTATTTCCTGTGTGCTCAAGGTCTTGGGCCTTGCTGGCTTCCCCTACATTCCTGTTCTGGACTTCACTGTCCCCTTTCTGCCACAGGCAGTGGTATTTGACTCTCTGTTCTCGTCCAGAGCATCAGAGCTGCGCAAGGGTGCTCTTGTAGAGCTTACTGACTGGTGGTAGCTTGTGTGCGTCTGTCCTGGGGCTGGGAGAGGGATGTAGTCAGGGGGGCAGAATAGAGTATTTAGCCCTGAAATATTTTGGAGGTGGGATTTCACTAATTTTAAACCCAAGTTTATATATATATTATTATATATACACACACACTTTTTTTTTCATTTTTCAGTATAGCCTACGAGTAACCTGGTTTGTATTTTCACACTTAAGGTGAAAGCTTGGTTTCTGAAGCCTTCAGAAGAAGCTGCCTGCTTCAAACCAAGTATGAGGGAGATGCAAGCACATCTGCATGAAATACATGCCCAGCCATAACGGTTTGTTTTCAGACTGTAATAGAAGTGATGCTGTTTTAGTAAAATAAAAAAAAGAAATGGATATGCTGGAAAGTAGAGCGGTCTGTTTGCTGAAGAAAGACATCCTTGCGGTGCCAATGCGCATGGGCCGAATAAAGACCGCTCTGCATGTGTGGTCAAGGGGCTGACTCCCTGCCTGTATGCAAGGGGCTCCATCGGTCACCCTGTACTTTACTGCCTTCACGTGGGAAGGAGGCTGTACAGTATCAGCACAAGGTGGGCGCATGCGCATTATGCCCCGGAGCACTGACTGCAGCCATCCTGTAGCTATGAGAAGTACTGCAATGGTTAAGGCCCATGCACGCTGCCACTGCCGTGCTCAGCACTGCTCTCGTGTGTCCAAAAATAAATACTCCAGAGACAGGGCGTGCATGCAGCCTACGTTCCCACCCCTAARGCTGCACTCACACATCCAGAAAGCAAAACTGCAAGTGAAGCAGACAGCTACCCCAGACGGGAGATGTCATCCTAAGCTCCTAGAAAGGGCCAATATGGACTAGACAGTAACGTTTTTCTTGCACCCACTTGAACGGAACTGCTTGCCTCAGTCCAGGTAAGAATGGTGGATACACACACATCTATATAAAATAGGGGGTTTCTTATCACAGAATGGTTGAGGTTGGAAGGGACCTCTAGAGATCATTTGGTCCAAGCCCCTTCTCAAGCAGGGACAGCTATCCTTTAAACATGAACAGCCGTTCGAGTACAGGCACTGTTGAAAAAAACTCCAAAAAACCCCAAACCAAAACAACCAAAAAATACCACATAAAAGTCCTGCTATTCTGGAAAGTGAATGACGCCCTTGAAGGTATCAGTAAAGCAGAACTGCTGCTGAAAGGGCAGCGCATATGTGCCCTGCGCTGTGCAATGCTTCCCAACGCYTTGCTCTGCTTAAAAATTGGTACTGTAACTGTAAGGGGTTGGTGGGGGATGTGGATGCGCAGTGCACTGTGGCGCCCTCACCAATGCCCTCCCGTGTTGGAAATTTGGTACTGCTCCGTCAGGGAGCCAGCGCTTGTGCTCTGTGCTGCCCATGCCCGTTCTAACCCCAGAGATGCGATAGAAAAGGGACGTGCCGGCGCATTCTGACTGTAAGCGAAGGGTCAGGGTCTTACTGATCCCTGGCAATGGCAAACCCAGAGTGGGCTGCAAAATTTTTCTTACCGGCAGCTTTGGAGAATCTGCTATTCCAGGTAAAACCTGGCTACCTATATATCTATCCAAGAGCAGGGCTGGAGCCTTTGATATTATTTAAACAGTAATAAAACAAGGCTCATAAACTAGAAAAAAAAAATCATCCATTCTGAAAAGCAAACAAAGCCTCTTGAACTCGTCAAAACCACAGAACTGCAGGCATAAGGGCAGCATGCATGCGCTCTGCATTGTGCAGCACTCCCTGCTACCCTCCTGTGCCTAAAAATCAGTACAGCAATAGCTGGGGGTGGAGTGGGGGAGGCAGGGTGCGTATGCACAGATTGCTTTGAGCGCTGCTGCTCTCCGCTATTGAAGTAGCTGTCCTGAAAAGGTAAGGAAAATCACGTGCACTTAGCGCTCCCCGGTGCTCACTGCTTCACTTGAAGATCAGAGAAGCAGAAGTGAGGCCGTAAGCCCGGGTTCCCCACTATCCTCCAGCAGCTTGTCGGTGTCAAGACACCACTGTCAACTGCTACTCTCTGACATTTCAGTAATCTTCAGGAGATCTTCAGAGACTTTCAAGACCATCAAGTCCAACTGTAAGCCTTTTAATGCGATGCTTGTTAAACCGGTCTCATCTACACATTTCTTGAACCCTGGCAGGGACAGTGACTCCACCACTTTGCTAAGCACCCTATTTCCAGGTTTAACTCCTCTTTTCATTTAATTGTTTTCCCTAACTTTTAATCTGAATCTCCCCTGTCACAACTTGAGGCCACTGTTGGTCTCACCTGCTCCCTCCCTCTCCTTCCACCTCTGGCCTCCGCTCAGTTCCCTCTTGGTGGTGTCTGTATGGTGGCTGTGGTTCCATCTCACGCGGCACTGCACTGGGGTCTTGTGGGGCGGCAGTTGGCCCATGCACGGCCCCAGACAGGAGCACGGTGGAGGAGTGCGGTGAGGGATCTGCAGCCCTTTGGGTGGTTGCGTGCCTTGGGCTGTGGCCTGCCCGTGGGGCTTCCGCTGTGTGCAGGTKGCAGCGCAGGGCTTGGCCTGGCGTGGATTTGGCGCTGTCTCTGCTCGTGCCTGGAGTGTGGAGCCGGGTCTGCTGGAGTGCAGAGCTGAATTACCCTTTTTCTGTGTATCTGTTTAGGGTGCCAGTTCTTGCTCAGAGCGGTTGCACTCACTGCTGYGGAGGCGGGGATGAGCTGGCAGTGGGAGAAAGTGGCCTCGGTGCTCCACATCTGTGAGACGGGCAGCTCCTGCTGCGACAGCCAGAGCTGTGAGGGCTGGTGAGCCCCGAGGAAGCGGAGAAGCTCAGGACTGAAACGGATAAGGTTGACTGGCTCTGCTGCCTCTTCTGGTGTTCTCTGTAAGCTCATGTGGGATCAGCCAGAGAAGGCTTTTTGATGTGACTGTCTCCACCCTTTTGATTTAGACCCACCAAGTGAAGAGGACTTGATGGCCTTTCTTGGCGAAGAATGTTGGTAGGTTGGCRTATGGGGGACACACAAGKTTTTGTTTCAAAAGAAAACAAAATGCTAGTGAGGAGCTTAAAAGAACCCTGCTACTTTTAATTACCCCCTTTTAATCAGCAGCAATGCCACAAAAGCAGAAGGCACTAAAGAGGGTACAAGGCAGGTAAGATAGAGTATCGCACTCTGTGAAGTTATCAACAGCTACGTCTGTCACCCTGAAAAACCATCGGAGCAGTGGTCCAAAAACCTAACCCCTTGTTTTGGTTGGTTTGACAGGGTAGCTCGCTGGATGGGGATGTCTATTAGAGAAGCACCTGGGACTCTGCGATCTGGTCATTCTTTCTAGT